CTTACTTACGGCTTAAACTACTATGAACATGGTTTAAATCTGATTTATTTTATATTCTAGAGATTCAATGAACAATATTTCTACAAAAGGAGCTAATCTAAACCTCTGGGTACCACACGGTCCAGAAATATTAAAATTAACCACAAACTCTTCCTGGGTGCTTAACTAAACTATGGCTAAAGCACCAACATAAATATAAATGCAATAATTAATAATCTAACTACTTCAAGCCTTCAAGCCTTATATTACCTTCTGCCCAGCAAAGTGCACTTGAACATAGGGGTCCACCAAATCTCGGTTCTCTCCTATGAAGGCCTTTTTCACATTAGCCATGATGCTTGTGTTCATTTTAGGAAGTCCCTCTGCACGGAAGATCTTTACATAAAACCTCGCCCATTGCCTCTCTGCTGGGATGCCCTCTGGCAGCAGGAGATTTCTAGAGGACAGGGTAATAGCAAAACAACATCCAGAGGCAAGCCTGTGGAGTTACTGTCTGCATTTGAGATAATTTCATGTAACAAGCATATGAAATACTTGGGATTAATTCAGAACATGTGTTAGTAAATCTGAGATATTTAACAGATTTTCATGTATGCTGCAGATTTCGCTTGACGACAGTATTCCTAATCAGTGACAGCTTATTACCCCTCTATGTCATCTTCGTCAGGCTCATTGGCTTTGTGTGGAGTCTTGATGTTGTCACCCTTTCCGACCACAGCGATGTCACACTTTATATATCCTTTAGATCCTGCTGTGATGTCATCAGGATCAGACAGGATGGCCCATTTATGGTAGAACTGGTGTTCTGAGACAGATATCAATCAGTTAGTCACTAACAGCATTTATCAGCTCATTTTCACTTTACAACATCAAAATTTTAAAAAATCATTTAGTAAATTGATATTTGAAAATGAAAAGTATTACATGAATGCAAATAAAAGCATGAAAGCAGAAAGCTTGGAGTTTACCAGGCTGAAAGTAGACAGTCCCAACATCCATTTTGAAGGTTCCTACCAAGGTCCCACTCCGTAAAAGGTTCTTGGAATGAATAACCTAATTAGACAAAAAGGTAAAAAATAATATTGTATATAAGGCAATAAGCTATGAGACTATAATAATCTATAAAAATCTATAAAGAAACTGATGTCTGTTAACGTGATTTCCTACTAAGGGGGCTGGGGGTGCATAGTTTTACATATTTTACACCTTATAAAGCATGAACAGTTTCAGCCTTGGCTTATACAACCTTCTGTCCAATGGGGCTATTACATTTTCTCTTGTGAACTAACAATGTAATATTTACAGCTCATATACCATAACCTGTAAGAAAGAGGGTATGGTAACAGTCTATTCAGACGCACTCAAGTGTGGACACATTGTGGTATAAATTACTTACTGAAAGCTTGATGATCTTGTCAAACATGACGTGAGGAGGGACGTGGAAATCAAAGACAAAATACTGCAGAGTAAAAAAAAGCTTTCTCATTAACACGCAGTTACTCATGCCCTCGTTTTTCTAGTAATGATTGTAGGAAAACACATCGTTCTTTCAGATTTGGTCTTGGAGTAAAATGTGTCAGGCAGTTGTTTCTAGATAACTTTGAAGTCAAGAAAACATCAGTTCAGAAATTAACTAAGGAAGTGTGGGAAAGAGAGAAGATCCTCTCATTATCAGGCCACTTTGGTGGGAGATCTGCTGCTTTCTGCTGCTGTTTTATTTCAGGATGGATAATTAACTAGTAACCAGCACATACACACCAATGACTATTTGTGAGATTTATTTCTTGTTCTAGCATGTGTGATTTTACATCTGCAGTTAGTGTTTGTTTGCCCACACTAATGTGGGGCAGTTATTCTCTCCCTGTAAAGACAATTATGCTGTGCTGGACTGTAGCCCACTGACTCTGCTGCAGGCATGCATGGGTGGATTAAAATACAGTGGTTGCCTCTCCTAACAAAGCAACATAGCCTTACATCACCCACAGTTTGCAGTCTTTTTCATTCTTGTTCTCTTGTCTCTCAAATCACCTGAACTAATTTCTTGAACAGAAAGTGAGTTCATTACACTTAAATGGCCTCCACGTTCACCAGATCTCAATCTAACAGAGCAACGAGTGGTTTGACAGGAGATTTGTTTCATGGATATGCAACTAATTTTCCCTCTACAACCAATTTAGGAATCTTACTGCAGAGAAATGTACCGCTACCTGAAATAGCACAGATGCAGAACAAGCTGGGACTGAAGCAGCTTTGACACAAAGACAGAACGCTTAAAGCACTATTATCATGATTACTCTGGTTTACAGTTTGTCTCTTGATAGGGGATCCTCAGACAATCGATAACAGACTGTCACTTTCACCCCCTGCAGGGCACAACTAAGAGGCTGAGCTCTGCACAGTCCTTACCACCTTACAATTGCTACTAACACTCTCCAATTTAGCGCATTGTACACTAGTCAATAAATCATTGCAGCATTACACTATCAAAGAGAACACTACTCCTATCCTCTACTGTTCTTTGCATATTAATGAAGTTCAGGGTTGTAGCTGACTGATGACTTCATTTTGAGAAACAACTGTTCTCACTAGCTTTGCCTAGCTTTACCCACATGTCCAATTGTTGTTGTTTTTTTTGCATTGGAAAATTAGAATTGTTGCCTGAAAACCAAAACAGTGAACTGAAAGACACAAAAGTGGTCCACAGAGCTGATAGAAGTCAGACGATAAACATGCACAGATTTGTTACTCTAAGGACAAAGCTCGCAAATTACATTTTAAAAGCTTAAATTGTCTCACCTCGTTGTAGTATGGACAGTTGGTGGACTCCTTCATAGATGTGTACTTCTTGTCATCTCCAATCTCCACACACACCACAGGGTCCATGTTAAGGCCTATTAGCTGTCTGGCCTCGATCACCGTGATGCTGATCTGATGAGAGACATTAATGCATCAGATCTGACTCTGAAACTTTAAACAAGCTGCTCTTCTTCCAATAGTGAGTCAAAAAACAGCAACGGTCTCATTATAAATAATTCAACCATTCAGTAATTATCATGAGAACAATTCATAAAAAAACAATCCAGACCCATCTTTCAGAAACTAATGATGAAAAGCTGTGAGGGCTTTTGTCAGAGCGCAGTAGTTTAGACTGTTATTTTACTCAAACATCTCCCCAGGCTGAGGTAATGTAGCTGCTTATGGACAGACTAGATCCCAGCTGAAGGTTTCCACATTCAAGTATCCCTCTGGTTTAATTATTCTTTGCTTGATGAAGAGAAACCAAGCGAAACAAAAAAAAAAAGGGAGAGACAGTCTGCTGCTCACGATTGCACGAGGATTACAAGCTGGTGTACAAAAGTATTCTGTTTTTTAAATTTAAATAGGTCATGAAAATGGGCCATGTGCTATCATTGCGGCGTAGTTACACTGTTCTGTTTATGTGTTTGTTGATGTAATGATGAATAAATTCAGAACTGTTAGTCCCAGTAGGCAAACAGTTGTGACGGTAAAGTACACAAATATACATATCAGTACATCTACAATATCAGTGGACATATTAATAGTGCACATGCAACTGGGCACAATCCCTGTGTATGACAGTAAACTACAATTTTTAAATTTTGCAACAAATGAGATACAATGTGTTATTTTGTCTACAGCCTTTTTAAAGATAGAAAGCAGCCAGCTAGGCTGCTCTGCTTTCACCTTTTGTGCTAAAAGCTAACTGCCTGCAGTGAGATGACCTGATATTAAAAGGAGGAAATGAGAGTGGACGTGTTAATTAGCTGCCTTGTAGCCCACAGTTGCTCCAAGGTCTTTTAAACTTTGAAGAAAAGTTAAGGTAGCTGTTAGGTAAGCCATCTCCTTCCTCTTTATATACGGGTAATTTAATGACCCCCAGATCCCATTTAGTCTGATGCACACAAATGTAGGAGTTGCTTTGAGTTTAACCAGCCTGAGAAAAAGAAAGTACGCTTAATTAAAAAAAGACAAAACAAAACAAACTCGAGGCCAAACATGCAGGAAATCAAGTCGATAGAGTTGGTTACAAAGACCGGCTTTCAACCCCACATCTACATGCAAAAACTCACCTGATAATCCACTGGTCGTCCGGAGCTTGGTTCCATTTTGATGTCTGGCTTTGACCTGAAGAAATCAACATAATCATGATTTTTCTTCAACAACAAATTTTTCTTCAACAACAAAAAGCATGAAACAAATTTAATTTGAAGTTTGAATCTTAAACATAGTATGTTTGTGTATGTATATTTAAAACTGTGCAACTAACTTTAGCTTATTTAACTGCAAATTGCTCAGTCACAGCAAAAAAAAAAGGAAAAAAAAGGAAAAACTGGTGGTTGCATTCAATTTATTTTTACATTCCACAACCAATTGCATACAGTTGTGGCAATTAAATGGCCACCGAGAAGTTGAGGAAAACAAAACCCTCAACTGTTTGGCGACACCTTCAAAGTGGTTGCCAAGGGGGGAGGCAACCTGTCTCCAAACAGTTGCAGTCACTTTCAGACATATGGCGTTGGGTTTGCAAACAATTGCCACCTAATTTATAAATACAGGCATATTGCCAACACTCTGCGTCATTGTGTGCTGATAAGTGCAACTTGTTTGTGATTCATCTCTTTGCAACAAGGGACTTGACTCAGCTAGTTGCTAATTGGCAGCCAACTGGTTGTATCATGGTTATATTCTTGCATAAGTAAGGTTCATGTTGCTATGCCATTTTGCAGTCACTGTCCTGCAGTACCAATATCACTTTTTGTGGAGAAATATCTGAATTTCTGTTTCATGTTACTGAGGTTGTGGCTTGCAATTGGAATTTCTGTGCATGATTTTGACTGATTTATCACAGTTAATCACTTTATTATCACAAATAGATTTCATACAAGTGCTAACATGGCAGCATTTAATCACAAACTGATAGCAGACTAACTCTGTCTTATTCCTGTTTTTTGCCATCTTGATGCACTAAAGTTAACTTAAAAATGCCAAATGACTGTAGATCGATTTTTGTAGCAACAATTTCAAAAACAGCAAGGCTGCAATAATTTTGGTCGAACTGCAGTCTCCAACCACTGTTTTCTCTAGAGCAGGGGTGGGCAACTCCAGGCTGGTGTCCTGCAGATTTTGGATGTATCCTTGATCTAACACAGCTGATTTAAATGGTTAAATTACCTCCTCAACATGTCTTGAAGTTCTCTAGAGGGCTGGCAAAGAGCTAATCATTTGATTCAGGTGTGTTGTCCCAGGGTGGTATTTTTAAAGCCTTTAGGACACCGGCCCTTGAGGCCTGGAGTTCCCCACTCTTCCTTTGAGTGCCTGTACATTAGCGGTTTCAGACCTCCATATATTTTCTTTTCTAATCAGACTGCAAAACAGATTAACATTACATCAGCTGAAGACGTTTTGGTAGATCCAGGTAGCTCTCTCTGAAAATACAGACTGAACTTCTTCATTTTACACAAGCCTGCCTTCATAAAAATTTAAATTCAAGCATTTTTAATAGCTTTTAGTAGCTTGTGGGTGTGCCTTTGAAAGAACAGATTCCAGCAGTTTCTGCTTGTTTCAGGATTCCACACTACATTACACCACACAGATAACCTAGTTTTATGAGATACTGTAACTTTCAGGTTGTGAAATCTGCCTCTAGGTCTGCTTGTATTTTAATGCTGTGCCTTGTGATGTGTGCATGCGTTACTGTATAAGACCTTTTATTGGAGACGTCTGTGGTGACAGCCGTGACAGAGGCCAAAGAGATGGTGTCTGGTTCCAGCATACCAGCAAGACGCATTGCTTTCTTGTCCAAGTCCTCCATGTCCAGGACGGCTGGCTCATCTGCAAGAATAATTGGAAAAAAAACAAAAAAAACAAAGCAAAAAAACCACACAATTACCAAATAAAACATGATGGGTACTTTAGATCTCCATTATTTTCAATTACATACTGCTTACACCAATTTTAAGCCTATAGACAACTATCAAAGGTTTCTATTGTTAAATAATTATAAATAATAAGTAATTTCAGATCAGAAAATAATCTTCAGTTTCTAATTTCAGTAACTTAAACAGGTCTTGTTTTGTGGAGTGTTTTACCTTTCTTGTGGTCGTCTCTAGAGCTCTTGATCTTTCCGAGCTTCATGGCTGAGAAAACTCCCTTCCCTGCTCTAGTGAAGGTGAACAAAACAGTGAATAAAAGAGAAGCGATAAGACGGAAGTGATATCATGGTAATGAAGTGTCTGATTCACTGCCGATCCATCCTGAACTTCAAACTTGTCACTTTGAGTTGTAACATAAGGAGAGTTGGGTTAACATTAAAACCTGAACTTAACTCCAGCAAAAACTCCACTGCTGGCTTGTGTGCACCCTCAAAATGCAATTCAACACCATAAAGTTGACCATACCTCACAGACATCTTTGAAACTGGCTGGACATTCAATTCCTGTTCCTCCCCCTGATCACCACCAAACAATTCTCCAGACCCTCAATCACAAAACAAGAGTATCGAGTGTCTCCACATCGATATTATCTGGATCACATATCACCGCAACAACAAAGAGCTTGTGATGTCATCAGCGGATCGACAAATGAGGGGCCTTAATAATTAAGAATGAGTGTGGCTGTCTAATTTGCTGCGGATATGGATACATGTCAGAAAATTAATGAATAGGAGGGTTTTCCTTTTGTTGCCTCAAGCAGTGAGAGCCGGGTGTATCAGAGTTCAACTTTTGCTTTGATCTTTACCTCGTTATTTTAAAATAGTTCAGCCTCATTTCATGGAATATGGAAAAGTTGAAGTTTAAGACATCTCATATGATAGGTTCATAACCCATGGTGGTTTAAAAGTTTATGAATTCCTGATAAAAGTCAGAATATACTAAGAAATACCCACTAAAAATGCAAAAAAGAGCCTCCAATTAACAGTGAAAATGGCCATTTATGCTTAAGATTTTACTTTTAGGTTTCTCAATCTGCATCATGTCCCTGAGGCAAAGTTTAACCATATTTTTCCTACTTGATAAATTACTTTAAATTAAAAGTGCTGGATGGTAAATCGTGAACTGTATATGAATGATGAAAAAGTGCCAATTAATCAAGAAGCTAGACCCAGCTTCTCCAGCTCTCTTTCAGTGCTACAAGATTGCAAGCAGTCAGCTGTCGGCTGTGTGGCAGGCAGGTTTGTGGACCCAAATCCAGGACTCAGGAAACAGGTATAACTGAAAATATCAGCTTTAATGCTGCCATTCACAGAAATACTGGAAAACTGAAACATGCCTAAGGCTGAAAATGCTGGGAACCCAGAGGAAGCAAACACATAACCATGCAGGATGACATGAAGCAGGATTACACAGGAACTCAAGGAGTTAAATATAAACCAAACTATAACCACGGACAGAACTATGTGAGAATATGAAACTAGCAAATATAAAGAAACCAACCAGAAAAACACACATTAAAGGAAAAAAGAAAGAAAACAAATGATCTTTACAAACAAAAGAATAAAATTTTTCCAAGACCCACAGACCCTGACAAAAATTAAATATGTTTACGTTTTGGGCTGAATTTTAAGCCTCATCAGCTAACTGAAATACCACTTTAATAACGCAGTTAACATCGAACATTAGTTGCATTCACAGTTATTCTTCAAAAAAAAAAAAGAGTATTTCAGTAGTCTAACCTATTTCTCTTATAGCCCTTATTCTCCTTATAGTCTGAGGACACATCACTGCAATGTAATAATGTGACAAAAGTATTTCTTATACATACCACATGAAAAACACTGATGCTACTCAGCTCCAAGGAGGTCAAATCAATCCACCTGAAGCTTCTTTCTATTATAAACTATATTCCCATATACTATATCTGTCAGCTGCAGAAAAAACAGACCAGCCTGGCAAATGGTAGCTGGACAGATGAGAGGATGAGGGAAAGGGAGAGAGAGAGAGAGAGGTGGAGGGACATGTTCAGATGTACAAAGACAGAAGGTAGAGGAGAGAAAGGATGATGGGTTTTGTAGATATTTGTAGACGGGAAGATCCTTCTACAAATCAAACGAGAGTCTCTAGAGCTCATAACAAACTCTCATGAAATTAATGTGATATTGTAGCTTTTCAACTGCCTAATAACACAAATATCTGAACAGCCAATCACATGACAGCAAGTCAATGCATTTAGGTATGTAAGCATGGCCAAGATGGCCTGCTGAGGTTCAAACTGAGCAACATAATGGGGAAGAAAGGTGATTTAAGTGACTTTGAACATGGCATAATTGTTGGTGCCAGAAGGAGTAGCTGCTGATGTACTGGGGTTTTCAAAGAATAATAGAAAATATATAGTGAATGGCAGTGGGTAAAAAGGCCTTGTTGATATCAGAGGTCAGAGAAGCATGGCCAGACTGCTTTAAGCTAAATGGAAGGCAACAGTAACTCAAATAACCACTCTTTACAACAGAGGTACACAGAAGAGCATCTCTGAAAGCACAACACTTTGAACTTTGAAGCAGATGGGCTGCAGGAGCAGACGCCCTCTCCGGGTGCCACTTCAGGCAGCTAATAACAGGAAACCGAGGCTAGAATTCACACGGGCTCATCAGAATGGGACAATATTAGATTGGAGAGACATTGCCTGCTCTGATGACTCTCAATTTCTGCTGCAATATTTGGATGGTAGTGTCAAAACTAGGCAAAAACAACATAAAGGCATGGATTGAGCCTGCCTTATATGAATGTTGCAAGAGGACACTGTGCACAGGTCAGATTATTAAACTAATGGCCAGTGCTGACATTGATGATAAAGCTAAAGTCACTGTGATGTAATACGGGGAAGAGAGAATAGAAATGGACACTTCATACATTTGACGTCACACCCGTCACTCTTTTTCATTTCCTTTTATGAGTCAAATAAAAAAGAAAAAAATCATCAGAGACAAGTATTTTCAGCAAGAGGCTCTAAGTTTAAAACAAGACCAACGGATGTTGTTTTTTCGCCTTCTTTTAATGAGTAGTCCTTCTTTATTGAATTAGTTATGAAATGTAACCTTCAAAGATTTGAGTAGGTGGCAGGGAAACTTTACAACCAAGTGTTTCCAATTACAGAAATAAAAATATGCAAATTCACTCGTAGCTTTGAAAGTAAGCAAGTAAAAAGTCACAACACATCAAACTTGAAAAGAAAACAGAGAGAAGCGGGGGTCGAGAAGCTGAAGATTATGTTGCACGTCTCTCCTTGTTTCCTTTGATCTGCAAAAAACCTATTGCTCTAGTTACACTGCAGTCAAACCCAACACACAAGTAAACACCCAGAATGCGGAGCGATGTGTATTCAAGATTAGTAGATATAACGAGAACAAGCCCACTAATGCATGAAGAGCACAGCTTTTGCATACTTTAAAGGCAAAGGCGGATAAAGACATGTGTACATGCATGCTTAAACTGTGCTGTATATCTCAGGAGAGTGAGTAGAACTCGTTGATACATACACAACCATAAACCCTCTACTTACACATTTAAATTGCAGTAAAGATCAATGAACAAACTGAAGTTATTCACTAACAGCTTGATTTAAACATTATCTGTAAGCAAAGCATTCCAAGCTATCTAACTTATACAATGTTTGTTCTGATAAAATGAATAACAGTTATATGGTTATATAAACTATTTGTCAGTCAGGATTTAGGTCACTGAATAGTATACCCTCAGCCATTAGTGAACAAATTACACTGGCTTGGTTTGGATGATTGTGCTCTGGGCTTGTGCGTATTTTTCTCACTGAACTAATCTGCTCTCACATCAGTGTCCCCTGCTTGGTATTCATAAGTGACAAACAATGGTATTACTCTAAAACACAAGAATAATGTACTGACTTTGATTATAGTCAGCTTTCTGTCTGCGTTTGTTTTTCAGAACTGCAACTTCAGAGCGCTCCCGAAAGACAGACTGTATAAAATGGACTTGTTTCTTGCTATGGCCGTCTGGCTTGGAGCCTTTCTGTGTGGAGTTTGCATGTTCTCCTCAGGCTTACCCTCGAGGTAATCCAGCTTCATATTTCAAAGGCATGCATGTTGTTAGGTTAATTGGGGATCTAAATTTTTACTAGGCATAAAAGTAGCACGAGTGGCAATCTGTCACTATGTGTTAGCCCTGTTGTTAGTCTGGTGATGTGTCCAGGGTGTAGCGCATCCACGTCTATGACAGCTGCCACATGCTCAAGTGTCCCCTGTGACCCACAAATGGATAAGTGGAAGAAAATAAATGGTTGGATGGATGATCACAAAGTAAAACATTCACTAGAGCAGGACTGATAACGTTAGGCATGATTAGAGTTCTTACATTCTCTGTCAGATCCACTTCTTGTGCCTCTCTAGCATCTTATCCAAGTATAGTATTTTCTATGTAAAAAAAAAACAAAAAAACAAGTTTGTGATGGTAAAATGCCAAACCTGAAGCTCAAGACAGGTGACACCAAGGTGGCTATTTCCACTTTCTTTAAATAGTCTTTCTACTAAGCGCTTCTAATATTACAAGCCAAAAAATTGTGTGTTATGAGTTGGTACCACTCCTGTAATTAGGGATGGGTATCGAAACCCGGTTCTTGTTGAGAACCGGTTCCCACTGTTTCAATTCCTTGGAATTGTTTGCCATTTTTTGCAAACGATTCCCTTATCGATTCCAGTCGCCCCGAATGACGTCACCACGTTGCGGAGCGTCGCTTACCTGACAGGAAACATGGTGGCTCAAATGCTCAAAAGTTTGGTTATACTTTACGAGAACGGATGACAACAGGGCAACTTGCAATACTTGCAAAGTAGATATTTCATTTAAGGGAGGAAACACTACGAATATGCAAAAGCTCATAAAACACGCAATGACCTTAAATGAATGTCATGTTTTTAATTCCGCTCCGGATTCGTGAATCTCAACGTTTGCACGTCCTCTCCCGTTAATGCGGCAGGTATATAATCAACTAACAGTGCATATTATGTTAGCGCGATCTGCCTTATTACAAAACCTGCCATTACTGTGCATTTAGGTGACCATGATGAGAGAGACAGACAGAGTCTGGCTCATATGCTGACAGTTCTCGCTGCAGTCTACCGGTAGCGTCTCCTTTCAGGCCAATATAGACGAATGTCACGAGCAGTGACTAAGTTTGTGGTCAAAGGCTTGC